GTACGGTCACATGTATACACTCACCCATGTACACACACCACAGTCACATGTACTCACACGTACACACATACCTATGCATTCACACACATATACACACACTCACGCCCACACATGCTCACGCGCAACCACATGGAGACTGCACGGGGCTCCCCTGGTCTCCCCGTGTCTGGACCCCCCCATCCCCCGCCCTGCACTCCTGGCACCCTCCCAGCGGGCACTCCGGGGCCCAGCTCAGGGCGGCAGGCGCAGCCAGGACGGTGATGGATGGAGGCCTCGCCTGGCTCAGGAGCTGCAGGCAGGAAGCCCAGGCATCCCTGCCCTGCTCGGAGGCCAGGCTGGGTCTTGTGGGCCCCCTGCCTGGAGCCTCCGCCCCGCACTCAGGCCCCAGTCTGGCTCACCCAAGGCTCTGTGGCTGCCAAGGGCTCTCGGCAGTGCACCCGGTCTGGTGGGGACAGGATGGAGTTCTGGGCTGGGGCAGGCTGGAGCGGGAGAAGGGCCTGGATGGGGCGAGATGGGCAGGGAGCACCTGGGGAGGGGCTGTCAGTGTGTGCCCGTGGACAGAACTGAGCACCATCCATACGCTGAATACGTCAGGGCTGTAGTCATTTCAACAGTTATTTTAAAACAGCTTTATGAAGGCACAATGATCTACCGCGGAGCTCACCTGCTCCAGGTGCGCACTGGCGTTCCGCAGCCCGTCGGCAGATCCGTGCGCGGTCTCCACAACCCCAAAGTGCCCACCGGCAGCGGTCCCCACTCCCAGCCCCAGCCCCCCACCAATCGATCTTCTGCCCTGTGGACTCGTCTGTTCTGGGCAGCTCACATAAATGGGGTCATCTAGTACGGGGCCTTCTGTGACTTGCTTCTGTCACTCAGCATAAAGTCTCCAAGGCTCACGCGTGTGGTGGCACGCACCTGCGCTTCGTCCCTTTTTAGGGCCGAACGATATTCCACCTACGGGCAGCCATCATCTTCTTTACCCATCCGACAGCTGGCGGACATTTGGGCTGTCTTTCACTTTTGGGGTATTGTCAACAGCGTGAGGTGTCCCCCACCCTGTGGGGGTGCCTGTGTGTGCGTGTGCGTGAATCTGCGACCCGTAACCCGACACTGCTCTCAGGCTGTTCTGAACTTATTCAAGTGGACATGGCAATTTTCTAATCAAATACATATTTGACACAAAGAAACATAAGCAAACTCTGAAAACCAGCCCGTCTACTGCCCGGAAGCTCTGATCCGAAGGCGGCAAAGGCCTGAACGGACAGCAACCGCAACAGGCGATCAGACCGTTGCGCTCAGGGCTTTAGAGTCGTGGCTGTTACACGCTCTTTATTACGAGTGGCAATCAGTTAGCCCGCAGCAGCAGAAGTTAGGACAGGAGAACTGAGACAGCCCCCAGGGAGGGAGTACAAACGGGAACCACTTCTTCACGAGAAGACAGACGGTTTACACAGCTACCAGCGCTGGCCGGCCCCTTCCTGGAAACGCAAACGTGGCTCAGATACAAAGAAAGGTTCTAATTACAAGAAAGGTTCTAATTACAAGCAAGACTCGCTGTTGTAAGATGAACTCAGTTGCTAGATCCAGTGCATCTCTAATCAAAACTGGAGACAAATCATTCTGACAGCAATCAGAGATGCCGAGAGAGCAAGGCTCTGGTATGCTTTCCTGTCAGGCACTAGAACACCCTCTGAAGCCACAGTAACTTTGGAGGGTGGTCTGGACCCAAAAGGAGCAGAGGAGCCCAGGATGCAGCACAGGATGGAGCTGGCTCCCCTTTCCTGCAGCTCTCAGTTCCCCTGGGGGTGAAGGGGCGGGCAGGCAGTGGGGAGGGAGCTGGAAGCTGGGCCGAGTTCACAGCCAGGCCTGGCTCGTTCCTGGGCAGCCACTGGTGTCTTAGATGAGGTCTGAAGGGATGATGGATGGGCCATCAGCAGCCACATTCCTGCCCCGATGGCGGTCTGCTCCAGGAATGGCCGGCACTTGGCTGAAGAATCGGCTGGGCTGCTAATCATCTCTGGCCGGGGCTGCTGCAGGCGCTGGGGTGGATGCCACGTCCCCGGGCTGCTGCGGGCTCGGGCCTCAGGAGTGCGGCCTGGCCCGTCCAAGCTGTGGTCACCTCGGGCAGGGGGGCACACACCTTTAAAGTGCAGGGTCCCCTCACCCCTGCAGGCACACTCGCTGGGGAGGCAAGCTGCACTCATAGCCGGCAGACACCGCCTGTCTGGGAGCTCCCTGCTTCGGAGAGTGTCCCACCACATGCAGCCCGTGGGCGACAGCAGTGACATCCTGTGACAGTGGCCCTGCCCACGGGCCCTGGAGCTGTAAAGACCTGAGCTCTTTCCCTGTCCTGAAACTGGGCCTCAGTTTGCCCATTTGTGCAATGACCACCTGAGGGCCCCTCCCCTCACACCCTGCCAGAGGGCAGGGTGCCTGTGGGAGGAGGTGGGAGCCCCATCCCCACATGGGGGGTACCAGGGGCGCCGGATTCTGGCCTGGACTCCCATTCACCCACAAACCACCAGGCTGGGGTGCACGAGCCCCAGAGCCGTGCGAGGGGCAGGTTTTCCCATCTGAATTCCAGGTGGCGGTGGTGGTGCAACGGGAAGTGAGGCGGACAGCGGCCCAGACACCTGCCCCGTCCAGACAGCCACATGCCAGTCCTCTCCTCGTACCGGCTGGACTTCAGAGGGGGCCCTGTGCCCAGGCTGTCCTGCCACCCTCCCTACCCGGAGTCCTGGACACAGAGGCGGCCTGAGTGCTAACTGCAGCTGGACACAGAGGCAGTCTGGGTGCGGAGTGGGGCTGGACACGGAGGTGGCCTGGGTGCTGAGCGGGGCTGGACATGGAAGCCGGAGAGACCACAGGAGGCCGGGGTTGTTCTGGGCAGCACTCTGGCCTCCTCTTTGGTGGTTCCCTTCCGTCTCGGGGACACCTCGGGCATCCGCCTGAGCCGTCACTGCTGCTCGGGCCTGGCACGCTGGCCAGCACCTCAGGGCCAGCCCAGGGATCACCGATTCCCTGCAGTCACCTCCTCCCCGGGGTTACCTCCTCCCGGGGTCACCTCCTCCCCGGGGTCACCTCCTCCTGGGGTCACCTCCTCTCTGGGGTCACCTCCTCCTGAGGTTTCCCTTGTCCCAGGGGTCACCTCCTCCCGGGGTCACCTCCTCTCTGGGGTCACCTCCTCTTGAGGTTTCCCTTGTCCCAGGGGTCACCTCCTCCCAGGGTCACCTCCTCCCTGGGGTCACCTCCTCCTGGGGTTTCCCTTGTCCCAGGGGTCACCTCTTCCGGGGGTCACCTCCTCCTGGGGTCACCTCCTCCCGGGGTCACCTCCTCCCCACCTCACCTCGCCCTTGGCCCCTGTCCTGGCCTCCACGACAGCATCTCCCCGTCCGGCCGCCTTCCCGGTTCAGCTGCCCATGTCTCTCCTGCTCACCCTGTTTTGAGACTTTCTCCCTTTTGTTCAGAGCTTGGGGCAGAAATCTGCCACTTCTGACATCACTGACAGACGCCAGCAGGAAGCCCGTCGGGCCCCTGAAGCTGAGACGTCCTATGGTCTCGCATGGCCTAGCATTTACGGGGTCTTGCCCCGCGCTTGGAGGCTGGTCACCTCCGCCACCTGGGAGTGGGGGTGACAGCGAGGCCACACGTGTCGTAAAGCTACACCAGGTCATGGGGCTGCGGTGGGGGGGGCGTGGACCAGCCATTCAAGCCTTTAGACCTTTACCCTACCTTGGACCCGGCCCTCACCCCAGAGGAACAGCCTCTGCTGCCTCTAAAGTGTCTGGAACCTTCTCCGAGGGGTCACTGCATGGCTGACCCTGCCCCACAGTCATCCCCCTGTTGCCCACACACAGCTCTGCGGTGCTTCATCCGTCCAGCATTGGCATCGAAACTGGACAAAGTCTGTCCCACCCCAGATTCCTGAGGAGGGAGGGGCGGCTCGGGAGCTCCTGGTCAACAGCACCCCAAAGTAAACAAACACACAGATGCACGTGAAGTGAGACACTGGCTCCTTGAATTTACTCACAGATGAGAGAAATGAAAACATTAGCAAATCAAACTCTGGCTAATCCATAAGGCACTCTGTGCAGTGGGATGGGCTGAGATGGGAGGGGGCTCTCAGTGTGGTCTGGGAGCCCCCTCGATGGGCTCATTCTTGAGCTGGGGGCACGTGGACAAGACTCCGACACCGTCCCCTGGGCCCCGCTGGCTACGTGAAGGAGGGGTCTGTGATGCTGTGGTCGGGGTTGCAGGTGAAGGCGATGGTGATGGCGTAGCGTGTACCCCAGCTGACCTTCTCCACCCGGTGCAGGTTCTCGGACCCCGAGGTGAAGAAAGAGACTCGGCCTGGGAGAGGGAGGGAGGGAGGAGTAAGCGTGGGAGGCCACTGAGGGCTGGGGCCTCCAGGGAGACACACGACCTGGCAATCTTCACAGGCACACACAAACAGTGCCACCCACCTCCAGCCCCCCAGGTAGGAGGCTGTGAGAACCCCACAGGCCATCTGATGTCCCCCCCCACCTCTTACGGCCTCCCAGAGCCCATGTTCTACGATTCTCATTTCTTATCGCATCTAGAACAAAACCCAGTCCCCAGAAGGTAAGGGCAGTGTTTTAACAAGCAGTCAGGAAAGAAGTTGACCTTGAAAACATCCGACTTGCAGACACTGAGCTGACCACCGTCAAGGAAAGATGAGAGATAAAGAGGTGGGAAAAAGGCAGCTTCTACTGCTCGGAAAACAGCGGCTCCGAGCAGCCCTGGGAGCTGGGCACCTTCCCACCGTCTGTCTTACGGGAATTCCATGTTTGTTTGCTTTCGTATTTAACCGGCCCAGTGTGCACCACTAGATTTCTTACGGTAACCACCTACTCTGGCTGTCCCAATGCCTCAGTTGGGGCCCTGGGTGGGGACAGTGCCATGCTCCTGCGCTCCTGCCACGTGGCCTGGCCCCAAACGTTTCCGACAGGGTCATCTCCCCTCAGTTTGCCACTAGAAACTCGATCTCCTTCCTCCATATTTTCAATCTGGCTCTAAATCTCTGAAAAGGTTGCAAAGTCCACCCAGATGTGCATTCTAGCTGTAAACCAAGCAGAGGGAGCTTCCAGGCCGGATGGAACACTGCTGAAGGCAGGCCCAGGGATGCCTTGGAACACAAACCAGCCACTGTCCCCGCCTTCCTGGGCCAGGCAAGCCTTCTCCAGATATCAAGGAAATGTTCTTCTCCAGGGTAATCTGGACTCATAATACCTTCTAAGCCTTAAAGAATATCCTCAGTTTCTTCCAGTTTCAACCTAACCCAAGACACTGAATCCAGAAGCCAGGCCTGTCTGCCCAGTGGGGGCCAAGGGCTCAGGACTTTCGGGAACTGTAGCTCACGTCCCCCTGCCCATTCTCCCTGCTGTGTCCGCGGCACAGACACAGTGCTCAAGCGTCCGTCAGCACTCAGAGTAGGGGTTTCTAGGGGCCTCTTGTGCTTCTGCACGTCCTAGCGACAGAGGCACCGAAGAACAGAGAAAAGGACCAACAAAAAATGAACAGAGCCTCATGAGCCGTGGGACGATACGAAAAGTCTTAACATTCGTGTTACTGACCCAGGAAACTGAGATAATAAATGAAGTTGCTATGTTTTGGGATAATTTGCTACATAGCAGCAGGTAAATGCTGCACCACCGAAATGGCTGAAAGTTCACCAGACAGACAACACTGAGTGCTGGGAAGATACGGAGCAGCTACAACCGTCCGGCAGCTCCTTATAAGGTCAAACGTGCAGTTACCACCTGATCTAGCAATTCTGCTCATAGGTGTTTGCCCAAGGGAAACGGAAACATACGTGCAGACAAAACGCACGGACGAGTGTTCACGGCAGTTGTATTCACGGTAGCCCACACCAAAATCTCCACCTAAGGAAGTGCACGGATAAACAGACTCTGGCAGTCATTCAAGTAGAATGCTACTCCATCACAAAAGGAACGACTGCGAACACACGCAGGAACACGGCTGTGCGTCAGAAACGTGGAGCAAGAGCAGCCAGCCACAAAAGCGTGTTCTGTACCATTGCTGCCACCTTGCCCATCCCCTTGGCACAGAAAAGGGCTGAGAGGCAGAGACCAGGCCCGATGGGCTGCCCATCAGAGAAGTCAGACATCTGCTTCTTGAACCAAGTCAGGCACGAGTCAAAATGGTTCTCACACCACATTCTTGAAGAGTGAGACCACTGACTTCCCGGATAAACGCCACACTAGTGACCAGGAGGGATGCTGGGAGAGAGAAGGTGAGTTCACAGAGGCCGGAAATCCATCCTTCTCTTCCCACCTGTGTCTGACCTTCAAGCAAAGTGGCCTTCCATTTCTTTCATCCGTGGAGAGCTGGCTTCGCCCCTGGACACAGCCCAGACCAGCTAGACCATGGCTGCAGCATGACCTTATTTGTGGGTGAGCCCTGTGCACTGACTTCCTGGGGCCAGGCACCATGCCCCTACGGCGTCTGTGCAGTGACAGATGCCTTGCTGTGCCTGAGGCTGGGACAGGAGACCTGTCCCCACCACCCACACTTCAGTCTCCTCCTCGTGACCAGCTCACACGCTGTGGGACTGCCAGCTGAGTGGGAGGCTGGCATTGCATGGGGCGAGCCCACCCATGAGGTCATCAGTGTCACAAACCCACCACCTGAGACTGACACCCCCTCGTCCCACCCCCTGGCATCTCAGGCTGGGCTGTCTCGGGGGCCGCAGAGCACAGCTGTGCACACAGCAAGGGAAACCAAACCAAAACCCACTGTTGTCGAGTGGATTCTGCCTCATAGTGACCCTATAGGACAGAATGGGACTGCCCCATAGAGTTTCCAAGGCTGCAATCTTCATGGAAGCAGACTGCCACACCTTTCTCCCGTGGAGCAGCTGGTGGGTTCAAAGGCTGATCTTTTGGTTAGCAGCCGAGTGCTTTAACCACTGTACCACCAGGGCTCCTGCAAGGGAGACAGTTAATATCATAAAATCACTCAGCTACCCCTCGTCTTGTCAAGCTGGAGTGGAAACCCCTAACCCACTTAAATGCCAAGGTGCTAACTCACAGCTTAAAGGCTAACGCAGGCTTTACACTTTTACCTTTAATGAACCAGCAGTTAAGCTGTACATTTAATCCTGGCAGCCAGCTCAAAAGTCCACAGTAATTAAAATAATGCCGGGTACTACAGCAACGCCCTGGAAGCGCCAAACGGCCATGAAGACATTATCAGCCGATGGGATGAAGTCACCATCAGGGCAGTGACCGTGACTAGCACTGGTGACTCGCCCGATGAGGCAAACAGCAGTGTGCTGGCCACCAAGGGTGAGGAAAAGCTTAACATTCATACCGTTTGGATAACACTCAGGATTCTCAGAAAACACGTGCTTTCTGCCTTTTCTTTTCTTCATTGAACACCATTAGATATTGCCTACTTTCTTAAAGCCGGGTTTAACTTGGCAACTAAATAACCAGAACAATCAAATGATCACAGTTTTCAGAATCTAGTCTTCTCCTGGGCAAAAGGGCCACTGGATCCCACCCCAAAGCAGGACATGTGTCAACAGTCCTCGCACCAAAGCTTCACTGGCTCTTGATCTGTCTCAGTCTTGTAATTTTTTGTTGAAAGCTGAACACGGTGCATTGGGTGAAAGAAACCCAGGTAGGTAGGCAGTGTGAGGCTGTATATTTATCTGGCTGGGAGTCAGGCTGTGCTCACTGTCTGCTATAGCTTTGGCGTCAGAGGATAAAATTTCCTCTGGTGTCCTTGTTTTTTTCTCCTCGGTTGTCTCTGGCTTTCCCTAGAGACTCCTTCTTAGAGAGGGTCTGGGCTTGCAGAGCTCTTAGCTGCAATCCTGTCATTGTACAGGGGCCTGTATAATAACGAGATTAGGGATAAGAGAAATGATGTGGGGAAAGGGAAGTGTTCTAGGATCCTATATTAGGTCTGGGTCTTTTAGTGAGCACGTGCCTCTGGGCTGTGATCTTCACAAATGCTTCTCAGCTGTTTTTTCACCCGTTAAGGGAAACAGAAAGGGTAGTGGGGGCTGGGGTTCGGTATTTCGCCTCCCACAGGTTGATTAGGCTTGGATAAAATAGTTTCCCTCAGGGGAGACCTTGTTAAGGAGACAGGAGAGCTCTGGGTGGATTTCAGGGTTACCTTTCCCCGCCCCCTGCTGGAAGCACAAGGGGATTTTCTCAGATCTTCACAGTGAGAACCTGGTGGGGGGCCCCGTTGAGACTTCGACTTCCCAGTTTTTAACTTTTAAGATATTCGACCGGGAGCCTTCAGCAGCTGGTCAGTTAGTTCAAGTGTTCCTACTATCCTGTCCGCAGCAGCCAGATCCTGCTCCAGGGATCCTGCTCCACGTACGCTGTGATTCTGCGCACCCACCTGCTGTAGCCCCAGCTGGGGGGTCAGCTAACCGCGTAATCTCAGTTTCCGGAGGCTCTGAGAACAGTTACTCATTTTCAGTTTGTTCCGCTTTCTTCTCGTTTTGAGGGCAGGAGTGAGGACTTCCAGGCTCTTTATACGCTGAACCAGAAACCAGAGTCCCGTCTAATTCTTGGAACTCATGAGGTGCCACTTGAAATGAAGCTTTCCTGGGAGTGGAAGGACTGCCTGGCAAAGGATTAGTTCAGCAGGTCTGGCTATCCAAACCCTGCACACTCCAGATCCTGGGAGAGAACTCTAAACCCTTGGAATATTCTGCCTGCAGAGAATATCTTTGTTTACCTGAGGCCATATAGTCTATGCTAACAATGGGGCTGATGGTGAGGGCCTCGGGCCAAGCAGTAAAGCTCAGCCTCTGGAAGGCTGTACACGAAGGCCAGCCACATGGGGGGTCAGCCTTGCCTACATGACTGACCCCCTGATAAAAACCCTGGGCACCAAGGCTTAGGTGAGCTTCTCTGTGCGTGCTGTGTGACATTTCTCCTGGGAGAATTAAGTGTTGTGTCCCTGTGTCTCTTCTCCTCTTTTAAAAGGACATCAGTCAGAATGGATTAGGACCCACCCTACCCCAGTATGACTTCATATTAACTAATCAGCAAGGACCCTATTTCCAAACAAAGTCATGTTCATAGGTATGTGGGTGCGGTGCGATTGATTACTGACTGATTACTTTTGTGTGGCCTTTCTAGCCATGGGCTTGTAACTCCTACCCAGGTGACTAAGCAATAGGGTAACTGTGGCCTACCAAGGGGATTGGCCAGTCATGTCTTAAAAGAGAGCCCACTGCAGAGCAGAGAGAAGGAGCCCACCACCGCCAAGGAAGGGACGGGTGGTGTCGGAATTAGTAAAGACGGCAGAGAGAGGAGGAGTGTCTGACTCCCACCTCAAAGGAATCAGCCTTAGGCTGTTGTTCTGGATTCTCCATCCCCCTCATGAAGTTAGAGGAGGTCGGACACTGCCCTCATGCCGCTTTCATAATGGGCTAAGACCTGAACATATCTTTTGGGGGGACACAACTCAACCCGTTACACCATCACTCACAGCCCCCGTTCACCCCCCACCAGGACTGTGCGCACAACGGTCTCGGAGCAGGCAGGGAGTGGCCCCGTGTGCCCCGCACACACCAGCTGGCGCCTGCCCACGTCCTACCAGCTCTCGGCTCCACCGTCTTGTTGGCTCCCTCCTCCATGAACACAAATCGTCCTCCGCCAAAGTCCTCCAGGTAGTCGGACAGGTACAGCAGTGAGGTGTAGTCAAAGGACCCATAGGTCACCTGGGAGGAAGCCACAGAGGAAGCGGGTCAGATGTGTCCGTGCACACGAGGAACTGTGGTTCTTAATGCAAGGACAGAACACTCTGCTTCTAGCTGACGCGTTTTCTGAAGATGCCTCATCAATCAGGCCATTCACTGCCTCCACTCTCGAAAACCCCTGGCAGCCCACAGTGCTACGCACCGTTGCCTAGGATCTCCCCCAGAACTAACACGCCTCACAGCTGCCTTCAGGAAAAGGCAAAAGGCGCAGGAAGCCACAGCAAAGGAGAAGCTCACATGGAATTGTGTCTCTGATGGTGCCACAACGACAGTCAGTCCATCCACAGGCCAAATCGTTCAATGTCAACACAAGGAAACCCAAAGCAGCAATGAAAAGTGTGGACGCAGCCTGGTCTTGGCATCTCCTCCACCTCTCTCTCTCTCCTGCCCCGTAACTCCTGCTCCATGGGGGCCCTCCCAAACAAGCTTCCCACACTTGAGTCCTTGGTTCAGGCTGTTTCCGGGGAGCCCAGAGTAAGACAGGTATCAGGTGAAAAAAAGCAGGGTGCAGACCTACGGTGTAGCGAATTACTTAATACGGCCCTTCTAGCCATAATCTTTGTAACTCACAGCAAATAACTAGGTGGGACTATGCAAATGAGGTGCCTATGCAAAAGGATTAGATAGCTTGCTAATAATGCAAGTAAGGTGCACGGTACCTTCATGGAGGTGGGACCATGCAAATAAGGTGTATGGAACCCTAACGAGGGGATTGGTCAGTTTTTGCCATTCTGCTAGGCTTAAAATGAGCCATCCCAGAGGCAGACAGGGGGACCTGACTACCACCAAAAGAAGACCTGGGAGTGGCGCGCGTCCTCTGGACCCGGGACGTCTGCGCTGAGAACCTCCTAGACACAGGAGACAGCGAGAGATAACAGGAAGCATGACAGAGAAATGGCAGCAGTTGGGACCAGAACCAGGAGACAGTGCAGTAAGCTTCCTGGCCCATGGAGCAAGGCGGTTACTGTGGGTGTGCCAACCCACAGAACAAGAGCTGAGTGCCTTCAGGCTGAGGTTTACTGGCAGAGTAGGATACCTGCGGGCACTTACCAGTGGAACTAAAACAGCTTTGTAACGTTTGCCTGAGCAGGGCAGAGGCCAGACCAGCCCAAAAGGCCCCAGGGACCAAGGGGCTAAGGGCCAGAGAGAGGTCTGTCTGCAGCATGCCTGAGAAGAGGCTGTCCTGATGGAAGAACTGTATCCTGAGTGTTCCTGAAGCTGAACTGTAACCTGTTACTTCCCTAATAAACCCCATAACCGTGAGTATTATCTGTGAGTTCTGTGTGGCCATTGCAATGAATTATCGAACCCAGCAAAGAAGTAGAGAGTGCCACGGGAGGGATGGTTGGTGTCAGAATTGGTAAAAAGGTTGGGAGGGTGGAGGCATGTCTGGCCTCTGCCTCGTAGGAATCAGCCTTGGGTGGTCGATGCTGATCTTGATTCTCCTTCCCCGCTGTGAAGTTAGACGAGGAGGTCAGACCCCGCCACCACGTCATTTTTACCAGACACTGTGCAGAACACGCTGCCTTTTGTGTGAAAAGGAGAGAAACCACAGTGTCTCATGACCTAAGCTGCCATTATTTGCATTACTCTATGTAACAGGAAGAAAAAAACAGTTGCCAATTTTTTTAGAGCAATTATTTACAATAAATAGAACACAGTGTTTTCATGTATTTGTTCTTATACACATAAAGAAACTCAGGAACAATTCTCTAAAGCCTCATGGCCATGGTTACCTGGGTGGGTTGGGGGGCTACTGGGGGAGGGCGTGGAAGACATACTTTTTACTGTTTGCCATATATATACTTATATTTCATTTTTGAACCTTGTAGAATGCATTATTTATTCAAAACAATTATATTTAAAATAAAGTGCACTGGCTAGAAATTATAGCAAAATAGCTCCCAACAGATCACTGTGAAATCGCCCAGGTTTTTAAATAGTTCTGTTCCACTGAAGCAAACACCTTCGCTAATCGGAAAAACACAAGTCGTCAGCTGCTTGGTTTCCTGATAAACAGCCACAACACAGTCCTGTGTCATCGAAGAAGGGCAGAGACGTGGCCCCAGGAAGAGCTGCCCTCCTCCCCTTCCTAAGGAGCCTCTTTTGCGCTGATTTAATACCAAGAGTAACAGAAAGCCAAGAGAAGATGGAAATGCCCCAGCACACACAGCTATGTTCACTAGGGTGGAAATGGTTTGGAGAGCGGGGTACCTCGGCACCGAGACTGCTGCCGGCACTCGGAGCATCCAAGAAGAGATGATACTTGAAAGTCGTCGCAAACCTCTGGCTTCCTTCTGTTTTCTTTTCTCTGGGTCTGCTGTTTAACGCCAAATAGCAGAGGGCCAAGACAGAGTAAGCCGGCTACAGACTCTCTCCACTGATTACAGCCAGAAACACAGAAAAGACCACGAAAAGCAACGATCCGGGGCTCAGCAAAGCCAACAGCAGCAGGCAGACCAGGGATTGCAGTCAAAACTCCAGTAACGAGCAGAGTGCTGTGGGGTTTCCCTTGGGTCCAGGTGTGGAACTTCACTGCAGTGTGGGCAACAAAGCCTCTGGGGAACCCTTGGTCCCCCAGCCCTGCCCGAGGCCAGCCCGCCGGGAGCTGCACTGGGTGGGGTGCAGTGTAGACACCAGCAACCCGAGATAAGGCCTCTCTGGACATAGGACTTGGAAAGGACCCTGTTGTCTGAAAACTGTGGAAGGAATCCCCATAATTTTTTCTTTTCTCTCACTGCTTCACCCCGAAGGTGGCCCCCGTCACACAGAATTCACGATGGTACAATGGGGCCACACCTGGCTAAGAGAAATGTGGCTCCCGCCCAGAGCAATTGGGAAAAGGGGTCCCGGGAGGCCGTGGAGGGGCAGTGCGAGCACAGCCTGCCCCACAAAAGAACGTCCTTGTGCTCAGGACCAAATGTGTCAGCCTGGCACATCAGACGGGGTGAGTGCGGCTGACTCCCTTTTTTAGGGCATCTTGACCCGAAACGCATCCCATAGCCAGCTGGTGGGCTGTGAGCACGTCTGACCCCACTCGCCCTGAGCACACGCCAAGATTCCCAGGCACAGCTTAGTTAAGTGTGGCCAACCCCACTGCTATATCTGTTCCCAGCAGGAAGAGGACAGGGTCCTTCTTCTGCAGCACAAGAGGGGTGCATGCAGACCATGTCCCTGTGTTGGCTGTGGAGCGAGATCTATTAGCCATAGCGGACCAGCACCCACTGTTAAAACCAGCCCTGCTCTGCCTCTCTCCGCATGAGCTGTTTGCTTTCTCTGCGTTTTATATGCCTCTTGTGTTCCTCTGTTCTCTCATTATTGTCTTCTTCTGCGTTGGACGGATCTTTTCTAGTGTGCCCTTTTAATTCGCTTGTCATTTACCTCACTATACTTTTGGCGTTATTATCTTAGTGGTTGCCCTATGGGTTACAATTAACACCCTGATTTATAACAAATAGTTAAGATTAATACAAACTTAATTTCAATAATATACAAAACTGTAATCCCAGGTAGCTCCATCCCTTCCTCACACCCTGTGCTGTTACTGTCATACAAATCACATCTGTATATACTGTGTGCCTGTCACACATATTTGTAATTACTGTATGGCTTTATGCAGCTGTCCTTTCAATCAGATAGGAGAAGAAAACAGAAACAAACAAAACAAGACACACGTACCGCCTTCTGTATTTACCTGTGTAGTTACCTCCACTGGAGTCTTTACTTCTTCGTGTGGATTTGGGTTACTGTCTAGTATCCTTTTGTTTCAGCCTGAAGGACTCCCTTTAGTTTTAGTTTTGTTTTTTTGTAGGGCAGGTTTGCTAGTGACAAATTCTCTCAGCTTTTGTGTATTTGGGAATGTCTTCGTTTTAAAATCTTTTTAAAAATTTAGATACAATTAACATACTATAAAATCCACCATTTTAAAGTGTACAGTTCAGTGATTCTTTAGTATATTCACAAGGTTTTGCTACCACCACCACTATCTAATTCCAGAAAGTTTCCAAAATCCCAAAAAGAAACCCCATACTGTCCCCCTACTCCCTGGCAACCACTAACATACTTTCTGTCTCTATGGATTTGCCTATTCTGGACATTTCATGTAAATGGAATCATACATTACGTGGCCTCTAGTGTCTGGCTTCTTTCACTTAGCATATTGTTTTCAAGGGTCATCCATGTGACAGCATGTAACAGTAATTCCTTCCTTTTTATGGCTGGACAGTTTTCCATTGTATGGATACATCACATTTTGTTTATCCATTCATCTATTGATGAACATTTGGTTGTTTCCAATTTTTGGCTATTATGAATGATGCTGCTATGAACATTTGTATGCAAGTTTTTGTGTAAAACTATCTTCTCAAATCCATTGGGCATAAAGTTTAGAGTGGAATTGCTTGTTCATACAGTAACTCTCTGTTTAACTTTTTGAGGAATTGCCACAGTGGCTTAACCATTTGACATTCCTACCAGCAATGCGTGAGGGTTTGCTCCTTCATTTTTGAAGGACAGATTGACTGGATATAGAATTCTTAGTTGACAGGTTTTCTTTTTTTTTTTTTCTTTCAATACTTTGAATATGCTGTCCCATTGCCTTCTGGTCTCTACGGTTTCTGATGAGAAACCAGATGTTAATCTTATTGAGGACAACTTGCATATGACAAATCGCTTGTCTCTTGCTGCTTGCAAGATTCTCTTTGTCTTGTTTTTCATCAGTTTGATTATGATGTGTATAAGCGTGAATATCTTTAAAGTTTATCCTAATTTGAGTTCATTGAGCTTCTTGGAGGGGTAGAACAATGTTCATCAAATTTGGGGAGTTTTCAGCTATTATTTCTTCAAATATTGTTTATGCCTCTTTCTCTCCTTTCCTTCTGGGACTCCCATTATGCATATGTTGTACACTTGATAGTGTCTCACAGGTCTCTTAGGCTCTGTTCATTTTTCTTCATTACTTTATCTCTGTGTTCCTCAGACTGGATAATCTCAATTGACCTATCTTCAAGTTTACTGGCTTTTCCTTCTGCTTGTTCAAATCTGCTGTTGAGATCTATAGTGAGTTTTTCATTTGGGTTATTGTTCTTTTCAAGTCCAGGACTTGTATTTGTTTCTTTTTGATGATTTACATCTTTTTATTGATATTCTTAATCTTAATTCTCATACTTTTCTTTAGTTCTTAGATATGGTTTCCTTTAGTTCTTTGAACATATTTAAAATAGTTGTGGTGAGACATACCTCTGACTGGAAGAAAGTTGTAAGTGGAGAAGTTCACATTAGATGTAGCAGCAAATGGTGGCAAGGTGGCCATTACTATCCCAATGTTGCAAATGCCTAGACTAAGACAGAGGGGTTCAATTATGGCACCTGAGTGTGCAGGAAAGAACTCTCCCGGGAAGGAGAAATTCCTCCACTGAAGGTCAAGGGGAGGGACCAATGGCGGAAGGGAGCACCCGGAATCAGCCAGCCAGGTGCTGCGGCGTTCAAAAGTCTCCCCAAAGCACTTCTACTGATCATATGCCCAGTGTGCGTGGGGCTGTCCACCCTGACCTATCCCCACCAAAAGCATCCACTTGTTCGCCAGAGTGCATTTTCCATATTTTGTGATATAATAAAGAAATGGGGGATATGCATTGCTTTAAAGAAACATACTCTGAGGTCCTCTTTGTGTAGACATTCTTCTAGAAGATAGTGTGGTGCAGTGGAAAGCAATGGACCAAGGGACGAGAGTTATGTTCTGGGCTCACCTGAGTATGGAGCCTCTGACAATTGACCCCTCTGGGCCTGAGCACCTAAACAGGAGGTTCCTAAACAGAACCTATAACAGGAGGTTCCTAAACAGGAGGCAGCTATTATTTGTTTCTAAAACCCCCCTAAAAAAGTCAGGGAGGGACGGTGGCCATGAAGTTATTTCTAAACATGTCATCTGTGGATCTTCAAAACTTATTGCAAATAAGGAGTGCCATATGATGGAGTTGTTTTAAATGTTACACTTTTTAAGGTTTCATTTAAAATCAAATTTAGATTGCTAAAGTGGAGTTAGTCTATAACCTACAAAGAAGGTAGTGTTTCCAAGGGGTGTCACATAAGAACACTCACACAAACCAATACCTAGTTAATTAAAGAAAGAAATCAGTGAGATGCGATATTTTGTTCATGCAAAGACAGTGACGTACAAAGAATGTCAACCATGTAATAACATATTCCAGTCTAATGAATCATTCACTAAGTCTGGGCTAAGAGATAAAGAATAACGAAAGATTCCAAGCACTGCAGTCCTAGATGCTATCCCTCCACCACGCTATATGCAGTCCCCTCAGGGAGAGGCAGCTGGGAGGGAGAAAGGACGTTTTGAAGGGGAGGTCTGTGGCAGAGGGACAAGACGGACACACTCCACTCTAATAACGGCTCTGCCACAGAGTGGAGGGAAAAGTCAGGAGGAAAACTCAGCCAGCGGTCCTGCATCACTGGGGACATTCCAGCAGACATGCTGGCCCCCACCAGCCCATCTCTCCAGCAGCATCTAGCACTCAAGCCAGAAGCATGGTAGCAGCAAAACTGCTTGCCTGGAAGGACAGACAGGTATGGCCAGGACGCTAGTCAACGGCCACAGGTCAGTGGTGATTCTGCATCACAAAGGCGCACCCACGTGGTGCGTCAGCCTCATCCATAAGACACATATGACTGCGCTGATTCCCTTTAACCCCATTCTGGAGAACGCCCATTTTCACTTACCCCTGCACCTTCCCACCAGCGGGAAGGCTGTGTCAGGCACCTGGAATCTGCCATCTCCACCTAGACAGACTCCAGAAGTCCAATCTGCAATCGCTAGTGCAAAGCCATCCTCAGTCGTTCAGCTAAAGTTCTGCTATTTTCACCTCCGCTCATCATTCTGGCTTCCAGAGACACAAAGGACTATCCTGCGCCGGCTCAGCACACCCACAGCTCGGTGACCCACAAGACCTGGGACAAGTTCCTCAGGCCAATCTCCTTGCCAGGCTGCCGGGCACCATGGGAGCACTGACCTCACTACAGTGAATGCTGGTGGGGACAGGGTTCAATTAGGGGACAATCAAGACCACTGATGAGGGTGACTGTGGCTTAAAGAACAACAGGAGATCAAGAATGGATTAATCCAATGTAAGTCGGAGTGGCTGAGAAATTGTCCCCCTGGGCGAAGAGCCTGAGTGGGCCCTCAGGGTGGGAGGCTGGACGAGTAAAAATAAAAAGTGAGATGGGAGAGGGGGGCAGCCTCCCCTGGGGGTGCTGTCACAGAGCAAGGGGGCTGGGGCCAGGAGAGATGGCCGGCAGCACATACCGGGGCCAGCAGTCTGGAAAGGCTGGTCGGGGGACACTGCATAGTTACCCTTACAATCCACTGGGGGCTACGCATAGCTGTGAACAGACGGCTTCACTGCTGCGCAGCGCATTTCAGGACTGCTTCTCGCCACCATCACGTGATAACGAGTTTTACTTTCTCACCGGCATCAACCAGATTTAGGTGCACCCCTAAAACACCAGGGAGGCCCCCAAAACATCCACACTGCAGACGAGGTGGCCTGAAACCAAGTCCTGTGCACAGGCGGTAGGCTGCTCCCACCCCATGAGCACATAGGTGGGCCGGCTGCCCCTCAGCCCCGCCCCGCGGGCCCAGGGCACCCCACCTTGTCGACGTGTGCGTGCCAGTACTCATCATGTGCGGTCTGGGCCTCCGTGCTGTTGATCCGGGAGAAGAAGGTGGGCTTCGTCAGGTACAGCGAGGACGCGCTGATGCCAAAGGCTTCAGCAATGGTGAGCTGCACTTTCTGCCGCACATCCCTGCAATGACAGGACACGTCACCTGGGGCTGCGCTGCCCTCGGGGAGAGACTCCTATCTCAGTCCCCACAGGGTTCCATGGGGCCATGCCGAACAGGGAAAGGAACGAACAGGAGGAAGTCAGGAAGGTGAAGAGGTACACGGGTGTGTGTGGACCCACACACATTCACACACACATACACGCCCATTGTCTTAGTCATCTAGTGCTGCTCTAACAGAATTACCACAAGTGGATGGTTTCAACAAAGAGAATTTTATTCTCTCACAGTCCAGCAGGCTACAAGTCCAAATTCAGGCCATCCGCTCCAGGAGAAGGCTTTCTCTCTCTCTCAGCTCTGGAGAAAGGTTCTTGTGATGCATCAGTCTTTGCTTGGTCTGGGAGCTTCTCTGCGCAGGAACCTCAGGTCCGAAGGAAGGGCTTTGCTCCCGGCACTGCTTTCTTGGTGGTATGAGGTTCCTATGTGTCTCTGCTCGCTACTCTCTTTTATATCTCAAAAGAGATTGCATCAAGACACTAATCTTGTCAACCTCATCAGTATAACCTCATCACAGTGATAGAATTTACAACACATAAGGAGATCACATATAATCTCACCATAGTGATAGAGTTTACAACACATAAGGAAATCATATCAGATAACACATCATACAATACTGGGAATCATGACCTAGCCAAGTTGCTACACACATTTTTTGGGGGACACAATTCAATCCATGACACCCATAGACATAGGCACACACATATGCATACACACTCACATGCATATACACATACGCACGTACAGACACATACACAGCATCCTCACACAGATGGAATATTGTATGCATGACCAGGAACCTGACGGCCAATTGTTCGTAAGCATTTGCTGAGTTGAACTGTACCTATGTACATATGTACCTACGTACATACCCCACATGCATACAAACACCCACATACGTGTGTCCACAGACATACCCACATGCACACACCCCGACATACATGTGTACATACATATCCCACATGCATACACCCACATAGGTGTGTATACACATACATGCCCACATGCATGCACACATACCTACTTGCCTACACGCAGAGCTATGCACACACATACGGAATCTGTAATAAACTAAATCCTAACACCATGTACCAAACCACATAGCTTGAGCACGGCTGTTCATAAATTATCCCAACATTTCCAAACCACTGGTCATCTCTCATCCTAGCCATCACTAGCTAAACAGTGTTCCTGTCTAGACAAGGGTTTTAACCAGGGCCTCACTGGACGCTGCAGTGATCCCCTTAATGTGATGCTCACTAGGTTGCCTGCGGTCCCATAAGTAGAACTTTATCTTAACATCAATGGTAATTAATGTTCACGGAACTTCTGTTGAAATGCAAAAATGTTTCTAACCCTTTCACATGGTGGCAGATATGTACGTGTTCATTAACCCTATTATCCACCAAGTCATAAAAATTTACGGAATGTCATTTATTTAGTCGGCTTAATTTTCTTAATGTTTGTTCACTTTCAAGCCTGGCAGCTTTGCAAATAGCATTTCACCAAGTTTCAGGGTTCAGTAAACTGGAGACCCTAAAAGATACGCTGAAAAGGTATTAACACTCTTCCATGTGTCATCAGTCAGCAAATGCACTTCCACGTAATAATCTGGAAATCTAATATTCTCCTCTTGAAACGAGTACTTAGTTTTGCCTCTAACAGCAGATCACTTTTCTCTATTTCTGCCATAGTCTCTACTCCTTTCATGCTGTTACCCTTCTGTTCCTGTGGGTGCAATCACCCTCGTTACTAGTCATCCCAGTGTCACTTTAATTAGTGAAACGTTTCAGTCTTGGAGAGAAAAGGCAGTGCTGTGCCTTTGTGGGAGCATCCGTGTCCCCATTTCTCGGGTTCTGTCACAGCTACTGCTCCAGGTTTGATGTGGTCTCAGAACCTCTGTGGCCCAGCACCACCCACAGGACTGGCAGTCTCCACGCTTCACTATCCCAGCTTCTGCCCCTCAGACACCGGCTCTCTCAGCCCTTTAATTACAATTGGCAGCAAGAAAAGACTGGGTGTGATTTGGGGGTTTACATCTTCCACCATCCACCCAGAAGGAGCTGGACAGAATCACTTAGAGTCAAATCAATATGTCCAGCAAACCCCACTCCACCCAGCATTACGCTGATGCTGTCTCTGGAATAACCCAGCTAGGTCTCGTGTAAATATTTCACACGGAAACGTTGCTCCTGAACTGTAAAGTTTGATATTTCCGCCTCCGTTCCTCCCGACTCCATGAGAGCAACAAAGTCGCAGATTTTACATTTTAAGCAAAAACCATCGGAATCCTTTCGTGGGAAACGGTCGATGCTGCATGGACACTGACCGAGATGCTACTGCCCGAAGTTGGGAGTTTTCTCAAAACGCTGCTTCCTGGTTTCAATAAATATGTTTTGCAACAATCGAGACCATGAATTGAGATTACAGTGATATTGCATGGTGGTAATATTCTTCTCGTGTTTAAAAACGCTCGGTTAATTTTAACTAGAGAATAGATGATGTAAACAAAATCCGGTGGTGACATCTGACTGTTTTCATTAGCTTTACAAACACTCTGATAATCCACTTCCAGCTGTTTCAGTGCTTCACTGTGTGAGGCTGAGTTCTTCCCATTTTCCTCCTTGGTAATTACACATCTTCTTGATCTGAACCCTAAACCTGAGCAGCACATAACTGCCATTCTGGTGAAATCTGTGTTCGCATTTTTAACCTTTAACTCTCTTTTGAGCGCGTCTGCATGCACACTCACACCCCTGGCAACGGTGAGCCACTCACGCCTTTTGTTGGAACATCAGCTTGGTTTCTGGTGCAGAGGCAGGCTCCGTCTCATCTGCACTGGTTCCGCGTGAGCCAGGAAGATGGTCCAGGCTGCAGGGATTTCTGACTAATTCCCCGTCCCCCTCATCCTCCACAGGCTCAGGGTTGGTGCTACTTGCGCTACTTTCCTGGAACATAAAGAGTCACTCATGGTCTCTCCATTCTGGGTGCTCACTTTACGCGTCGTCAGTTTTGGAGCTTATCAACACAGAAGCACTGCACTTTCTCTAGTGACGCACACGGAATGGCTAGTCTGCCGAGGACAACAGGTAACTGGGCCTCTCCTGGGCCGACGCGGCACAGGCTGGGACCCACGCCTCTGCGCCGTCGCTCGCTGTCCTGACATCCTGCGACAAGGAGGCTAACCCATGAGTTCACCCCAGGGCGTGGTGTTAATTAACTGTATCACCTTTTGCCAGTACAGTTTGGGCGCTGCTATGGATTTACTGGGTGCCCCAACAATATGGGTTGTAAATCCTAACCTCTGTGCCTGTGGTTATAATCCCAACTGGGAACGGGTTGTCTTTGTTACGTGAATGAGACAGGATTAGTGTACGATGTGTCTTGAGTCCATCTCTTGAGATATAAAGAGATTAAACAAGCAAGCGAGAGAAGCAGAGATGGGGGAAGACTGACGCCGAACCACGTGGAGATCCCCAAGGAACCAGGAAACAAGCGGAAGAGACAAGGACCTTCCCCTAGAGCCAGTGCCCTGACTTTGGACCTCCAGCCTCCTAAACTGTGAGAGAATAAATTTGTTTGTTAGAGCCACCCACTTGGGGTGTTTCTGTTATCACAACACTAGATAACTAAGGCAGGCACAAAAGAGTTAATCAAAACCCTTCTGCCTTCTCGCTGGACCAGTGACCTGGGGTCCACGCTCCAGCTGTTTCCTTGGAGACATGAAAAACATGAAATGTCAGCTGTGTTTCCAGGCAACGGTTTGAGGTAAAAACGACCCCTGGCAGTTAGGGGTGGGGCGGGGACAGAGGTTGAGGGAGCATAAACGGCAACACTGAACGATCCCTGTGGTGACGGAACGCTCTGTGTCTTGACTGGACCGGTGGATACGTGAGCCCACGGAGATAAAGTGTATAGAAGTTAATACACATGCACAGAGACACACTTACTCACACAGAGACACACTCAGAGAACACACACACAAAGACACACACACAGAGACACAGAAACACACAGACACACACACACTCAGACACACACAGAGACACACTCAGAGAACACTCACACAGACACGGTCACACAGACACACACACACAAAGACACACTCAGAGAACAGACAAACAAAAAGACACACAAAGACACACACTCACAGAGACACACTCAGAGAATGCTCACATAGAGACAGACTCACAAACAGAAACACACTAACACACACGCAGACACACTCACAGAGCCACACTCCGAGAACACTCCCAGACACACTCCCAGTCACACACACACACACTCACACACACACAGACACACACAGAAGCACACACTCACAGAGACACACTCAGAGAACGCTCACATAGAGACAGACTCACAAACAGAAACACACTAACACACACGCAGACACACTCAGTCACACAGACACACACTAATAAAGACATATAGACACTCACACAGAGACACACACTCACACAGTCAGTGAAGCTGGGGAGACCTGAACAAGTGCATCGGTGCCCATTTCCTGGGGTGGCATTCCTGTGCTGCAGCTTTGTGAGCTGTCACCTTGGGGGAAGCTGCTGAGACTGCACGGGGGGACCTCTCTGCAGGATTTCTAACAGCCGCGTGTGGATCTCAACTATCTTAAATTACGAAGCTCTCACGTCAGCCGTCCTGCAGGGACAGGCCCCGCGAGGGCACAGAGGGCTGCAGGTGTTTGGGGTCGTCAGCTACACTTGGCCCAGAGGCCCACCTCTCAATGACAAAGCCTCTTCCAGTAAGATATCTTTAAATGGTTGTTTTTAAAGAAAACTAAAACGTTCAGCAGTATGTCATCCTATGACGAAGGTAGAAGAGCTGCCGTGTTTGCCCACTGTGTTGGACCTGTATCCAGGTTGCTGCGTTTTCCCATCGATTCTCACACAGCAAGCCGCCCGCCCAACTCCAGACACGTCCTCACAGACCTTGCTGGTTGTGATGGTCATGATTTTGTGTCAGCTTGGCCAGGCCATGATTCTCAGTGGTCTGGCAGTCGTATTGATACGATCACCCCCATGATGAGATCTGATATAATGTGATCACCTCCATGATGGGATCTGCTGTGAGTAGCCAATCAGTTGAAAGGGAGGTTCCCTGGGGATGTGGCCTGCATCCAACATAGGTGGACTTTCTGGCAAGGCTCACGGGCTTTTGCTCACTCTGGATCCTGCAGCTGGCTCCTGGGACTTGAGCTAGCAGCTTACCTGCCATCTTGCCTGCCACTCTTAGGATCTGTTGGTCTCCACAGCCTATCAGAGCCCTGCTGTCTGATGTGCCGATCTTGGGTTCACCAGCCTCTGTGGCTACGTGAGTCAGGAGAAGCCACCAGCCTGACCCACAGACTTGGGACGATCCAGCCTCTACAACCACGTGAGCCATTTCCTTGATATAAATCTCTCTACATATACATTTATACGCTTTACTCAGTTTGCTTCTCTAGAAAACCCAGCCTAAGACACTGGTCAAAGGTGCACCCTAATCCACTTCAGGTTTATAAACTGGCCAGGAAGAGCTCACGATGGCCTGGACATCAGCCAATGGTCCTTCCAGAGGAGTCTCTGATTCTACCCCAGCCGTGGCATGCCCGCCCCTCCTCCACATGTAACCACACACAGCACAGTCTCACTACTGCCTTCTCACCGGTATAACTGGAAGTCCTCTTCTGAGAAGATATTTTGTATTTTCTCTCCAAAGTACCTGTGAAAAAAATAAAAGATCTTAACAAATATAACATGTTATTAATGTTTTCTTTATTTGCTCTAAATTCAGCCTTTCCTCCAGCTAACCAGGTAATTCCCTGAAAATCAGCTTGCTCTTTTTATTGGAAAGCTACTCAGTTTCTATAATAATAACCTACATTCTAAAAATGAAAGGAGAGAAGGAAGGAGGAAAGGAAGAGGAAGGAGAGAGGGAGACCAATACCTAATAAGGGTGAGGACGACATTTAGTAGGATCAGGGACAATCCCTCTGCTTCCCTCGCCCCTGGTGGGGAGCAGTACCCGATGAGAGATGCAGACCCTCGGAGGTTCCCATTTCCCTGCCCTGATCCCTAAGGTGTGTGAACAGGCTCCACCAAGGCATACAGGCCTCAGGGAGGTGGAGGTCCCGCAGCCCAGCACTCAGCACTCCCTCCCGGAGGAGAAAAGCTCGCTTTAGAATCCACCTGCAACAGGTCTTGGGACCAGCGCACCCCAACTCTCACCTGTACAGGTTCACAAAGTGCTTCCCCACAGAGAGGGCCCCCGAGTGCAGGTCCAGAATGGAGGCCTGGAAAGATGGAAGCTGTGAGTCAGTCAGCAGCAGCCTGGCAGCCAACCCAGTCCCTGTCACCTCTCTGCCACTTTCCACCTATGGGCCTGTCCTTTCCTGAGGCCTATGTCCCTTTTCCTTTGCATCATGATAAAAACTCACAGCAAACAAGAAACAAAGAGAACATCTTCATCCTGATAAGGAATGTCTGCCGAAAGTCTACGGTGAACATGATGCTGGATGGAAAAACATTAAAAATAAAGGAAAATGCAGAATGTTACCACAACTCCCACGGCCTCCACCAGACTGAGTCCAGCACAACTAGATGGTGCCTGGCTACCACCACTGACTGCTCTGACAGGGATCACAATAAAGGTTCCTGGACAGAGCTGGAGAAAAATGTAGAAGAAAATTCTAACTCACAAAAAAAAACAAAAAACCCAGACTTACTGGCCCAACAGAGACTGGAGAAACCCCAAGTGTATGGCCCCTGGACACCCTTTTAACTCAGTAATGAAGTCACTCCCAAGGTTCACCGTTCAGCCAAAGATTAGACAGGCCCATAAAACAAAATGAGACTAATGGTGCACAAACAGCCCAGGGACAAGGATTGGAAGGCAGGAGGGGACAGGAAAGCTGGTAATAGGGAACCTAAGGTCGAGAAGGGAGAGTGTTGACATGTCGTGGGGTTGTTAACCAATGTCATAAAACAGTATGTGTAGCAACTGTTCAATGAGAAACTACTTGTTCTATAAACCTTTATCTAAAGTACAATGAAAAAAAAAGTAAACACCAACTAGGGTACCTCGAAGACGAAATCACCAAATCAATACCATTTACGATAGCCCCCAAGAAGATAAAATATTTAGGAATAAATCTAACCAGAGAAGTAAAAGACGTATACAATGAAAACTACAAGACACTACTGCAAGAAA